AAAATAGCCATCAGGGCCCTGTTACGGAAATCTTAGACCTAGTCAATACTGTGGAGATAGACAAGTCAGAATGATCAAACAATAAATGGTGAAAAAAAACAGAGTTGTCTTTCTGGTTCTTTATTCGAAGCTTCGAAGACGCAGGTCTCACAGAGTACAGAGTATTCTGGAAGAGTGTGCGCAATAGTCACAGAATAGCAAAGCTTATATACAAGATAGCGCGCTATCTTGTATATAAGCTTTGCTATTCTGTGACTATTGCGGCAGACAGAATTTTGTATAGCTAGGCGGAACGTCTCAGAAATCTGCTTTCACACGGATGTCTCATATTGTTATTAGACACCTGTCCTTGAGCTGTAGAAAGTATAACGGTTATCAGAATATGGAAGTTCTTGTGTGACTTTGTGTGAAGAGGAGTAGTTTCAACATAGTCAAATCAGCTCTGTGGCCTTGAAGCGCTTGAGAATAATAACCCTCATTAGAGTATGCACAGAAAACAGCACATAGAAGAAATTGTACAGTAGTGTTAGACAATGCTTTTAGAAGCATTTGCTTTTACCATATAAGGTAACATAAGAAATTGCCACTACAGCACATCAAGTCTAAATGTTACAGATTTCCATTCAGAAACCTTAATCATCAGTGAACCAAACACAAGGATCTTCAGTGTATTTTGCCAGCCTATTGTGATGGCAGCCGTGATGGTGTTCTGCGTCTGCATGAGTAATGACACCTGTAAAAGCTAACACCTGTTTCAGTGCACTCTGGGGTCTCCCTTCACATTGTGAGCCCCTGCTGTGGTCAGCTTGACATCCAGGTTTGGTTTGACCAGATGATTGAAACCCCACAGGAAGTGGATTGGATGCTTCCCTGTGGCTTGACACTGATACACATCGTGCACCTTAGCACAGAAAAGGCCATATACTTGACCTTTGACCTAATGAGCCACATCATCTTTATGTGTAGAGTTCTCTGAACGTATGGTTGTGGAAATGTGTTATAAATGCCAATATAATTATTCTTAAACAGCGTGTTAGCTTCTTTTACCAGATGAAAACAACTACATGATATAAACGTTAGCCGGCTAGATAGCTTAGCATAGCTTAATGCTGTTAGGGAGATGGCACTGCCTTTATAACGAAATGATATTTATGACATGCAATGGAAATACATTTGTATGTAAACCCCATAACGATACCTATGCTTGGTAACAGATGTCTAAACAGTAGCAAGCTGCTTATGTTAAGCTAAACCCGTGAGTAACATGAGTAGCTAGCTAACACTGAGTTACGAGTTAGCAGCTAGAACCCCAGAATACATTCACCTCCATCTGTTTATCTGTCATAACATGTCGCTGGGGCCAATAACTCTCACCTGGTGCGGCTCATCGTGATGCGGGAGTCCATGGTCATGCTCTACACCATCAACCTCCACCTCAAACACCCCGGCCATCTTCGGAGTGCTGCTTTACCGTTCCGGGCCATTAGCATTAGCAACAATCCTGAGTGGCACTTCCGGTCATGTTTGGTTAAGTTTCTTTCAAAATAAAAGTCGGAGATAATGTAGGTCAAATGTTTGTTTTGTTTTTAAATGTAGGTCAAATATATGAAAATGTGATCAAATAGTAAAGCCCTGGCTTTCTGTATTTGTTTGTAAAGTCTGAGGTCAAGCCATAGCTTGAATGAAAGGGGTAAACGGATTAATTAGATGCTTATATCAATATATTTAATACAAATAAACTATTCATGATCATATTTACTGTATTATATCAATGTCGTTGTATTTATACGATTTTTCTAATGGAACAACTTTTTTTAGAAGTGCTACTCAAAACAATGATAATTGCAATGAATGTCACTCATTTGTAAAGCTTTAATAACTCCATGGAATAACACACGATGTAAAACATTGTCTACACGAGTCAATAAAGTGAAAATGTTCCATTAAAAAAGTAGACTCTTGCAAGTAGACTGATATTGCAGGTATTAATAGCATATAAAACATGCACCAGCGGAGTTATCGTGTAAGGAAGGCATTGCACAACAAACAGTCAGTCACGCCTTCTATACAAACCCTTGTTGGATATTTGTGCATTGCAACAAAGAGCCACATGAAGCAACCCTGCTGCTGAAATCAGACAGGATAATTAGATGATATACAAAATATCGCGCCGGATTTGGCCCGGAAACGGAGACCGGAAGTTGTAAAATGATCGATGATGCATTTTTGATTGGTTTATAAATCTGACTGAGGCCCAATCCCAAACCACTCCCTCGACCCTACCCCTCCGTGATGGAGTGAACTCCGTCTGTAGCCACACTCGCAGCTCAACGAGGCTCCCTCCTGTCAGATGGAGGGAGTAAATACAGCAGCAAGATTTGGGACGGCCTCCCCTCTCTCCGGCAGAAACAGGAAATGCCGTAACTGTATGTAACAACGGTTTCAGATCAGCATCTCTTAGACAAAAAGTTTAAATTAATAACTCAAATACAACTCCAAACATCTTTCATTGTGTTTCAAAGCTCTTTTAGTTTTAAACCTGATGTTTATAAGCTTCTTAGTTTTTGCAACGGTCTGTAAATATACACAACTTTATAATAAAATGCACACATTTACCTTTTTCTAGACTAAACACAGGTATTATCCTCAGTTAAAAACACATGAGGTTATCATGAGGCTGTTAACATCGGAATTTATCAGTGGATGTTTGCTGGAACTACTTGTAAACAGCGTGTTTCCTGACGGACACACACAGCGTGACTCCGGTCAGGTAGAGACCGGTCTCAAGTCAGCACCGCTGCAGACTCGCTGTTTGAGGGCTTGATAGCCCACTCCCCCTCCACACTCGTTGCTTTGGAACAGCCCTCAATATGGCGAACCCTCCGCGTGAACGCGCAAACAGAGGGGTAGGGTATGAGGGGCCGTACAGGCCATAATTCATACTGGTCCTCTCACGCACATACATTCTCCTTTTACCCACATATATTTTCACTCTTACATACATACATTCTCCTTTTACATACATATATTTTCACTCTTACATACATACATTCTCCTTTTACATACATATATTTTCACTCTTACATACATACATTCTCCTTTTACATACATATATTTTCACTCTTACATACATACATTCTCCTTTTACATACATATATTTTCACTCTTACATACATACATTCTCCTTTTACATACATATATTTTATAATATGCATGTCTGAAGGGAATATATGTATGCAAGAGAAGAATGTATGTATGTGTGAAGACAATATATGTATGCAAGTGAAGAATGTATGTATGTGTGAAGACAATATATGTATGTGAGAGAAGAATGTATGTATGTGAGAGAGAAAGTATAGTGGAAACGGAAGGAGTATGGTTGAAACGGAAGGCAGGTCATTCTTGCGCTGTGATTGGCTCAGAAGGTCGAGCGGGGCGGGCTCATGTTCAGAACTTCTGATTTCAAATCAACATAACATGATGGAGGGAGATGAATCGCGTAGATTGCAGCAAGCATTAGGGGTTTTAACGAACATTTAGTCAACCCCTGAAACTGTCACATCCCTGGCCAGGTGTCCTTGCGGGTGCGTTCGCTTTACTTATCAGAGCGTGCCGTAAGGGCGGTTACTCTTTGGTTTATAAACTCCCTCCTGGGACGGACTGATGCATTAGATTATGTGCTATATGGAGGGGACTTTGACAGAGTATTTCTCACAAAGTACACAGTAAAAGTACTTCAATGTATTGTTAGTAGCAGTCAAACTAGTACCGAGTCCAACAGTGTCAGTTTTATGAAGAACTTGTGGTAAAATATATTTGTAAAAAGAAAATGAAGAGCTACTGATTTGAAAAAACGGCTCTCTGTATAGTTTAAATCTCCTAACAATGTTGTCCATTTATTCTTCTCAATTCGAGTCCAACAGTGTCAGTTTTATTAAGAACTTTCAGTAAAAAATATTTGTAAAATATAAAGAGCAGCTGATTTGAAAAGACAAACGCGAGAGACGGCTGAGTGACCGCAGTGCAGAATCGCTGTATAGTTTAAATCTCCTAACAATGTTGTCCATTTTAGACACATGCTTATTATATTTACAGCCTTAATAACATTCATTTTCTGGGCTCAATGTGTGTCTTGGCCGTTTTCATTGTGATCGCTAAATTCACCTTGTTTCCCCTTGTTTATAATTATGTTCAACGTTCCAAGCAAACGAGTGCTTTTGTTTTGAAATCACTTCCGCGAGTATCGCGCCCCCCGCCCCCCCCCCCCTCGCTACAATGACCATTAGACCATTTAGTAAGGTAAAAAACAAAAACGCCTCGCAGACACTCTTCCGTTAACTTGTTTAATAAAGAAAAACAAGTGGTCCGTAGATACACGGAGTCATCTAACCCTAACCCTCTCCCTCCATTATGTTGATTTGAATCAGAAGTTCTGAACATGAGCCCGCCCCGCTCGACCTTCTGAGCCAATCACAGCGCAAGAATGACCTGCCTTCCGTTTCAACCATACTCCTTCCGTTTCCACTATACTTTCTCTCTCACATACATACATTCTTCTCTCACATACATATATTGTCTTCACACATACATACATTCTTCTCTCACATACATATATTGTCTTCACACATACATACATTCTTCTCTCACATACATATATTCTCTTCAGACATGCATATTATAAAATATATGTATGTAAAAGGAGAATGTATGTATGTAAGAGTGAAAATATATGTATGTAAAAGGAGAATGTATGTATGTAAGAGTGAAAATATATGTATGTAAAAGGAGAATGTATGTATGTAAGAGTGAAAATATATGTATGTAAAAGGAGAATGTATGTATGTAAGAGTGAAAATGTATGTATGTAAAAGGAGAATGTATGTGCGTGAGAGGACCAGTATGAATTATGGCCTGTACGGCCCCTCATAGTAGGATGTAGGGGTAGGGTGTAGGGGGCGGTTTGGGAATGGGCCTGAGTCTTCTCGGATTGGCTGAGCTGTTGACACAAAGCGTCACTGGCACTGGCAGGAGGAGGTTGGCGCCCTCAGTTTGAGATTCAAATGCCAGTTGTCCTTATAGTTTAATAATCTGCTATAACATCTCAGTAATACAGATAATTTATCTGTTTCGAAGCTGAAAACACAACAACTGCTGTCAGAGGATGCACGTCATTAAGCGAGGTAAAGTAGCTCACTTTCTTGCTGTCAAATAATATCGGATAATGTAATGTTTCGCGGTGGTAATTTGAGGTCCTGGAAAACGTTTAAAATAAATTAAAATATGTAAACTGTAAGAAACGTTAATACTCACAATTAAAACTGCACTTCTGCAAATCTTTTCCTCCTTGTTAATTATGTACAATCGTACCTATTTATCTAAAGTGTGTTTCCTTTTGTTTCTTTGTGCATGGTTCTCGTCGACTTTAAACAAAGACTTGAGTTATGAAAGGACAACAACTGACAAAAGATTTGTATCCGTTTTGAAGTTTGTTGCCTGTTTTGTTTTTTATTTGAATAACGAGTAAGCTTATTTTTTTCAATAGTAACGACGATATTAAATTGAATCAGAATCAGGCTCGTTTTCCTGGTTTTACTCTCTAACACCTGTCCAAAACGTTTTTTTAAAGTAATAGCGTTGTCCACTATTAGGAATGTATATGAAAAGGTATTATTATAAACATGTATTTTCATCATTTGTGTTGGCGCAAAGTAAGAACGTTTTGTTTTCCTGGTTACACAGCTGTTCAGCGCGCGCTTTATCTGAGTTAATTGATCATTGGAACGAGTCCAATTTACATGTATGGGACTGATTATCTTGTATGCTATTTCAATGTTTAGAACCTTTCATCATAGTCTACAACTTCTTTGATGAACAAACTTATGTCTAGATTTATTTTGAGGGAATTAACCAAATACAGTTTTACAAACAATGTTTAATTTAATTTTTGTTTTTCAGATGGACGTGAGGAGGCGATAACTTTTGATAAAATCACTTCTCGCATTCAGAAGCTTTGCTATGGGCTCAACTCTGAATTTGTGGACCCTGTAAGTTAAGACCGTAAAAAGTCATCTCAATGTTAAAAAGAGATGTGAAAGTTTGACGATTTCTACTTGAATTGAAAGAGAATCTACTATGCGTTCAACCCTTTATCTGTTTATTTGCGCAGGCTCAGATTACGATGAAGGTGGTCCAGGGTCTGTACAGTGGAGTCACCACTGTGGAGCTGGACACTCTGGCAGCTGAGATGGCCGCCACCCTCACCACCAAACACCCTGACTACGCACTGCTGGCTGCACGCATTGTAGTGTCCAGCCTGCACAAAGAGACCAAGAAAGTGTTCAGTGGTGACTGGTGAGTACAAGTTACCATGAAAAATACACTGTCTATTGCAAGATATGCACCTTTTGTGTGTGTGTATAATAAATGTGTATTATCCTTACTGATGTTGCACTTTATTTCCTCTATGCTTGTGTAGATGTGATGGAGGACCTGTACAACTACGTGAACCCGTTAAATAAACGCCACTCTCCTATGATCTCCAAGGAGACGCTCGACCTTGTACTTGAAAATAAGGGAGTAAGTCACATGTATTTGTTGAGGATTAACGGCAAAGGTGAGAATGGCTTTTCCTGGAGCATCTTGAAAAGCATGTTTATGTGCTGTTTGGATATCATTTCTATTGTTTATTTGCTCATTATTCTCTCTCCTTGTGCAGTTGCTGAGAGGCCCCAGCACATGCTAATGAGAGTGGCTGTCGGGATTCATAAAGGAGACGTGGATGCAGCTATTGAAACCTACAACCTGCTGTCAGAGAAGTGGTTCACGCATGCCTCCCGACTCTCTTTAATGCCGGCACCACCCGGCCACAGCTGTCCAGGTGAGATAAGATATACTTTATAGATCCCAATTCACTCTGAGCAGTGACATCTGATGCTTTTTTCTACATTCGATTGTTTTCTTCTTTCCCTAATCTAATTTGTTTGTGCAGTTGTTTCTTGCTGACCATGAAGGATGACAGCATTGAAGGTATTTACGACACTCTGAAGCAGTGTGCCCTCATCTCCAAATCAGCTGGAGGCATTGGACTGGCAGTGAGCTGCATCAGAGCCACAGGCAGCTATATCGCTGGGGTGAGTCAAATTCATTATTAATGTGCTGCTTGTTTTTCAGATTAATCATTTCATATTTTGGTCTATAAAAGTCAATACCAGTTTCCAGTGTTGTGCCTATAAAAAAAATGTTTTGTAAGTCCGAAACCAAAGGATATTTAGGTTAATGTAATTTATACGGAAGAATAGGAGAAATGTCCATTTTTGAGACGCTGAAAACAGGATTGTTGTCATTTTTGTAAAAAAAAAAAAAAATCCGTATTCACTATCAAAATATTTGCCGATTCTTTTTTGGTTGATCGATCGATGATTTTCGCTCTGCATTCAAATCAAACTGAAAAAGAACGCTTTTACTTGTGTCTTAATTGATTGTATGACTTACAGTAGTTCTTGTTTTGTTTGTTTTGCAGACTAATGGCAATTCCAATGGGCTGGTTCCGATGCTTCGGGTCTACAACAACACAGCACGTTATGTAGACCAGGGAGGCAACAAGGTGAAAACACACACTAATGGAGCTGGATGTTGTTGCCGTAGAGTAGGGGTGGGGAACCTTTTTTCTCTCAAGGGCCATTTCAATGTTGTCAACATCCTCCGAGGGCCGTACAAATTATTGACCTCTGCTTAAAATACTAAAATCACAGCCCACTCATTTCACCTTTCTTTCATGCTGTGCAAAGAAAAAGCAACCTCTTAATCCAGATATCTTGCCATGACTCATGCATGCACATGCACGGTTGTGGCATGACCACCCAAACAGAAAGATATGGACACAAGATGTGTGCAAAAGTATTTAGTTTCATGTGAACATGATTTAAGTGGGGGGGGACTTAACCTCCTCTAGGGGTGTCCGGGGGGCATGCTCCCCTGGGAAGATTTTTTTTTTAAATGTTGAAGTTAAAAGCATCAATCTGGTGCACTTTGAGAGCAACATTAGGAGATCTATGGATCCATCTCTCAACACCCAGATGAAACAGAACTGTAAGCAGATTTTCTTTTTCTTTATGGATATTTTACAAATCACTCCCCTTTCAAACTGTATTCTTGTTTATTTAACAACTTTTTTTTACTGTCATATAGTATTTTATACCTGTTTACTTATTCTCTTATTTTTTTATAACTATAATGATCATATAAAGATGTGCCTTTACCTCACTGGTTGTAGAAAAAGCTTCTTATATTCGTTAGCATAGCTAGCTAACCAGATGCTAATAACAACAAAGTTATTGACTGTATGATCAGTATGACAGATCGCCACTGGGCTCTCAACTAAAGACACAGCCATGCAAAAACTGCAGCATGTATATGGCTCCTTATGGGTACTGCAATTTTTGGAAGTGCTGGAGCAGAGCTGCGTTCTGGTGCTCTCCCAGAACTACACCCCTGTCAGACGAGACATATACCACGTGATGACACGTTAGGCTTGTGTTGTGTTCAAGGACCCTGACCTTGGCCAGGAAAAACAGGCACTCACTTGTTTAATTATTTTGCGGTCTAGATTTCTTTAATTTTTTTCTTTTTTGCGTGTGTTTATAAATGACCTTGAGGGCTACACCAAATGGTCTCGCGGGCCGTATACGGCCCGGGGGCCGGAGGTTCCCCACCCCTGCCGTAGAGACACCTCTGGTAGTAAATGTAATGACCTCTCTCTCTCTCTGTGTTCCCTTGTTCAGAGACCCGGGGCCTTCGCTGTGTACCTGGAGCCGTGGCATTTCGATGTGTTCGACTTCTTAGAGATGAAGAAGAACACGGGCAAAGAGGAGCAGAGGGCCAGAGACTTGTTCTTCGCCATGTGGATCCCAGACCTGTTCATGAAGCGAGTGGAAGCCAATCAGGTGAATATCTGAGGGAATCCCCTCCATGACTCACTTTCTGCAAAGGTCACAGTTTGAATGAAATGATACACTTTATAATTTATGCTGAAACTAACTATAATTGTCATTGGTGATTCATCTGCAGATAGTTTTTTCGACATTAATAGTTTGGCCTTTATAAAATGAGTAAAATCCAAGTTGATGTCTTCAAATGTCTTGTCTAAAACTACTGTAAATTTGCTGTGGGGTTTAATCTTCCTGCTATATCTTGAACACTTCTGATTGCCCCTCTTCTGCTTTCGTAGGACTGGTCTCTGATGTGTCCCGGTGAATCCCCCGGGCTAGAGGAGTGCTGGGGAGAGGAGTTTGAGGAGCTTTACACTCGGTAAGACCAGCGACACAACACAACTCTCTTCTGAACAACCACCTGACTTCTCCTTGCTGACCTGTCCCATGTGTCTGTGTTCTCCTCAGCTATGAGAAGGAGGGCCGGGCTAAGCGTGTGGTGAAGGCTCAACAGGTTTGGCACGCCATCATCGAGTCTCAGACAGAAACCGGGACACCATACATGCTCTACAAGGACGCCTGCAACCGGAAGAGCAACCAGCAGAATCTGGGCACCATCAAATCCAGCAACCTGTGCACGGAGATCCTGGAGTAGACGAGCAAAGATGAGGTGAGGGGGGGGGGAGGAACTGTTAGGTCTGCTGTATTCACATTAAATATTTAGTTTATGTTCACTCAGCTTGTCCTCCCTTGTGATTGTTCTGTGATTATACCTCTATATTCAATATGACAATGCAACATATATATTGATGAGGCAAGATTTAGCTATTATTTGATCTCCTTCTGCAGTCCTTTAGCAGTTTCACACATAACAATCAATAGACTCTAAAAACATCACATAATATCTATCACGCCTACTATTATGAAGACATTTTAAAAGTACCCATCAACATAAATATTAGCAGATTTATCACATCTACTATAACATTAAAATCATTTCAAATATAACACTTGAATCACAGTCAAGTTAAAGGTAACTTAATATTCATTTCTCTTCTCGTGTTCTACTCAGGTTGCAGTGTGTAACCTGGCATCTATTGCCCTCAACATGTACGTGACCCCAGAAAAGAGCTTTGACTTCAAAAAGCTTTCTTCTGTCACCAAAGTCATTGTGAAGAACCTGAACAAGATTATTGACATCAACTACTACCCAGTGATTGAGGTAAGCTTTAAAACAGTGTTCCCTCTCTATCCACTGTGCAGTCTTATGTGCTCCATGGTAACCAGTGGCTCCTCTGTGCTGGTTTGCAGGCGGAGAGGTCTAACAAGCGCCACAGACCAATTGGAATCGGTGTGCAGGGTCTGGCTGATGCCTTCATCCTGATGCGTTATCCCTTTGAAAGCCCCGAGGCCCAGCTGCTCAACATCCACATCTTTGAGACCATCTACCACGCCGCCCTGGAGGCCAGCTGTGAGCTGGCAGCGGAGCTCGGCCCCTATGAAACCTACGCCGGATCTCCTGTCAGCAAGGGGGTGAGTACTTTTCACATTGCCTTCAATCCATCCCAGGATACAGTTCAGCAGCTCAGCTCTGATCCTGTGTTCTCCAGATCCTTCAGTATGACATGTGGGATAAAACACCAACAGATCTCTGTGACTGGGGAGCATTGAAGGCCAACATTGCCAAGTAAGTCTTTCTAAATGTCTCCCTTGTTGGTGTTTCTCTTATCTACTGTATGTGGGGGTTGTGGCTAACTTCTGCCCCCCCCCTGTGTGTCCTCAGGCACGGGGTGAGGAACAGTCTGCTCATGGCTCCCATGCCCACAGCCTCCACCGCCCAGATCCTCAGCAACAACGAGTCTATTGAGGCGTACACCAGCAACATCTACACCCGCAGGGTTCTCTCCGGAGAGTTCCAGGTCAGCACTGAGAGCATGCGCTGCTACAGATTTGGGGATTTTACATGTTATGCTGATACATTTGCTTAGAAATATCCCCACATGAACGGTTGGAGTTTTTGACAGCGAGTCTTTTCACTCTAAAAGCATTGCAACAATGTAATGGTCAGGTATCTTGGCAATATACACAGGGAAATTACAGTAACATGGGTACATGAATGAGTGATCACACATATTTAAAAATGATAACCGTTAATTTGCTTATTTCTTTTTTTTACACACATAAATATCTAACCAAAACATGCTCTTAAATTGACCTCCCTTGTTTCTGACTTTCTTGTGTGCGTCTGCCACAGATTGTGAACCCTCACCTGCTGAAGGACCTCACAGAGAGAGGACTGTGGAGCGACGAGATGAAGAACCAGCTGATTGGTCAGAACGGTTCCATCCAGGTAAAGAGCCACTATTCAGTATCATTGCTCTAAATCTCCCTATAATTAAAATATTTGTTGGTGATCAACATGCTGTCTGACTTGTCTGCAGGGTATTGAAGAGATCCCTGCTGATCTGAAGCAGCTGTATAAAACTGTGTGGGAAATCTCCCAGAAGACAGTCATCAAGATGGCAGCAGATCGTGGGGCTTACATCGATCAGAGCCAGTCGCTAAACATCCATATCGCCGAGCCAAACTACGGCAAACTGACCAGCATGCGCTTCTACGGATGGCAGTTGGTAAGTCAGGACTGAGGGAATACTCAATGCTCATCGCAGTGCCAAGAAACAAACGTCCTAATGCCGTCTTCTTCTCTCTGCAGGGTCTGAAAACCGGCATGTACTACCTGCGGACGAAGCCTGCCGCCAACCCCATCCAGTTCACCCTGAACAAGGAGAAGCTGAGGGAGGCCCAGGCGAGCGAGGAAGAGGAGGTCAAAGAGAAAAACATGGCTGCCATGGTGTGCTCCTTAGAGAACAAAGATGACTGTCTGATGTGTGGCTCCTGAAAACACACTTCCCCTTATCCACTGTTAAAAACACCCTGCTCTTTTTTTGTATATTACGTTGGAATGATGTTTTACATAAGCAGCTAGTTTCAGGTCTCATATTTATATTTACTATTTTCATCATGAATTACCTGTTTGTATATAATTTATAGGGTACAATGAATTAATACATGCTCTTAGTGTTTTTTAATTATTATTTGTATATGTGGGTCATTTTAATAAACATGATTGTATTTTAGATGTGTGGGAATTAAACTTTTTATACACTGGTCTTTATTTAAGTCTCTTTATTTCATACGCTGCTGTACATTTTTCTAGCTTTGGTTTTATTTATTGTTATTGATCATATTTAGACCTAAATGGTTTTCTTATACATTTTCAAAAAAGCTAAATATTTTGTACTCACATGGAGGAAAGAAGAATGTCTGCATGCTGTTCTAAAAACGTGTTGTTAATTAGGAAATGAAACTCATCATCTAACAGGATGGTGATTATGATTGGCTGGTGATAAATCATGCCTGTGCACGTAAAACATGAAATACATTACCTGGTGCTAAATGTTGTGGGCTTTGGTGTCAGAATGAATAAAGTGTGATATTTAATTATTTCGTGAAGCAGGATAACAGAATAGACACTGAAAATAGAAATGATGATGGCATCAGTCACCAATAACAGCGACAAAGCGTTACGTGCACATGTGTGTTCCACAGGAAGAGTGTGCATGTGTCGGGGGACAGGTGGAGCTGCAGGTGGTGATTTAATGAACTGATGCAACCTCAGGGGAGCAGAATGTGTGAAACAAGCTGAGACCTGCTCTGTCACACTGTGGCGGGCTGCTGGTCGTGAGTTAGCAACACTAATCAGCACAGAGTGAATGTTCTGCATTAAGCTCAGGAAAAACAGAAATGAATGATTTCAAATGTTTTAATTGTGTTACAAAGTTTATATTGTGCAATTATTTTTATTGAGCACAATTCTACTTTCTTCTGATGTTTAAATGTCAACAGAACTACCCCACCAAACATCATTTTGCAGTTTCAAGTTACTACATTCAGCTGATTAATTAGTGTATTTTTTAATGGTAATCCACTGTAACCCTATTTAACTGCCACTGATGCTTATCAAAGCCTATGATTTCAGCATCGTGACTTTAAGATGCACAATTACTTTTGAACATGTTAGCAATTATAAAACAAATTGAATTTAAACTGATTTTTAATAGATATCTATTTTCGGAATAAATTAATTGTATTGCCTAAATCTGACGAGTTTAAAATATTGGGGAATTAAAGATAACATTTGCCAAACAATGTTTTTTTAATTAACTTTTTAAGAAGAAAGTCAAAGGCTTTCTGTGTTAGAGCAAGATAAGGTTTCTGCTTACTGATTTTCTCACATAACTAAACAAGCTAAATGAATTGTGTTTTGCGTTACGCAAGATGAAAAGTCAGATAGCACTTTCCAGTCTGCAGTAAATATGAAGCTAGCAGCATTAGAGCATTGGATTACCTTTTCACTACACGGGACAGCTGCTCTAAAGTTCATTAATTAGCACATTATATTTAGTTTTAGGTACAAAAACAGAGAAAACAAATTACAATAGGCAAGGATACATTTCCCAATATGTGTAACTTGTCACTTTTAAATAATTATAAATGTCTACGGCCTCACTACCGTTCCTCCAATCGCCCCGTCCCCTTCTTCTGACCCGAAGCCGGTGTCCTGAGAGAGGCTGCTTCCTGTTGGGGAGGGGACGGTTGTTGTGGCTCCAGGCTTTGCATTGCCCTCTTTGACAGCAATTTTCCCTGCCGCTTCATGTTCAAACTTTTTACCTTGCTTCCACTTTGGCTCCACTTTCTGTTCTTTCAGCTCTGCTTCTTTAAACTTGTTCATTGCTGACTTTGTTTCTGTCTTTTCACTGTTGACTGTGTCAGGAGTTGTATCTGTGTGTGTTTCACTCACCTTCCCCCCTGTCAGCTTCTCATCTTCCTTTCCTTTTCCTGCCTTAGGTTTAGACTCCTTTTCTACATGATTCAAACTTGTCCCTGCTTCCACTTTAACTTCATGTTCAGTATTTTCTCTATTGTCTGCTTCCATCTGCTCTTTCTTCTGATCCCCTACCTCAGTTTTAGCTCTCCCCTCTTCCATCTTCACCACATCACAGTCCGTCACCTGCTTCGATCCTTCTGCTTCACAATCGCCAACAACATTTGGATTGTTATCTGTCTCAATTTGATCTGTAACCCCTTCTTTCTCTCCATTGTGCACTGGCACTTTGAGTGATGAAGCATTCTCATCTGGTTTGCTGTTAAATCCTACAAAATTGTTTTTGGCACCAATGATGTATTTCCCCAGAAAAGAGGAGCCCTCATTGGTCAGTCTCTCCTCCGTCAGAAGCTGCTGGACCACCTTGATGTCCCCGTGCATCCTGCTGACCGTTTTGGTCAGCAAAGTGATCCGATTGCCGATATCTGAGGGAAGAGAAAACTTCCATCACAATACGGCATTGGAGGCACTTTAAAGGGGCCCTATTATGCAAAATCCACTTTTTCATGTCTTTTATACATAAATATGTGTGTGTGTGTGTGTCCCCGTCTGAAACGCCTTCATTGGACACCTTTGTTTTCTTCTGTAACATAGTGACATCACTATTTAACACTGACACTTCTATTGGCTAGCGCTCCAACACAATGTTCGTGATAGGCTAAGGGGCGGGATATCTCTAAGCGGCTGACCAATCACAACAGAGCCGGCCAGCTAACCAATCAGAGCGGACTGGACTCTGGTTTCAGACAGAGGGTGAAAAGAGGTGCTGCAGCACAGGCAGTATGAGAAACAAATCCCTTTTAGATAAAAGGCATTTCTATCATTTATCATTGTAAGGATCTTTAGTAAATAAGAAAGAGTAGAAAGATGGAACCCAACAGAACTCTCAGACATTCCTGTGACACGGTTATTTCATCCTCACGTACCTTTCCTCTTGTTCTCCTCGAACTCCCTGCGTGCCGACTCAATGTAGCGCTGCACCAGCGCTCTGATCACCTGCTGCCGGTACGGTATCTGGTCCTCTTCAGGCTCCTTATCATTGCTCTTAAAACACATGACATCACAGCGTTTAGCTAATATTATGAAGAATATTGGTTTGTTCTAGTCACACTGCTGAATATGAGCATTACACTTACCATAGAGGGAATAGGAGGATATTTGTTCTCAGCATTTGAAGTGAAGCAGCAGAAGATTAGTCTGAAGAGACCTCTGGAACAGAATCCAAAAACAATAAATAAAGACGAACATTTAGATGAGTCAGCAGTTTCCATTGTTTTTAAAGCTCACCTTAACATGTAGTAGAAGGCTTTGGGTGAGGGGATGATGTTGAAGGGCACGGGAATGGTGAGGCCCTCTCTGAAGTAACTGAGGTACAGCTTGGAGCGGGCAAACTTCCACTCAACGTCTGCATCATCCTGAGATAGAAATGCTCGGATGTTAGCGACAGTCGTTAGTTTCTGCCTATCTTTCAGGTCTGACAGAAGAAAATACCGCTTTACCTCAATTTTCTGGAAGGTGTTGGTGATCATGGCGATAAGCATGTTGAGCAGGACGATGACGATGACGAGGGTGAAGATGCCGTACAGAATCCTTCCTACAAACTCCGCCACCACAAACTGGGGCATGTCCACGTAGTCCTGGTTAGCCACGCCAAACATGGTCCAGAAGAGGAAGTGGAACGTCTCATTAAACCTGCAGCAAAGCATGATGGGTCGGTTTTCAAACTCCTTTAAATGGACATAACTATGCTGAAATATATCATGTATATTATTAGTTTTAGAAACTGTCTGATGTTATTTCCTGTGTTGGATTTACAAATGGAAGATTTTCTTGGGCAATTACAACCTTATTAAAAGTATAAACAAGATGAAACTTGCTGGGTGATGTGAAATCAAAAAGATCCTGTAAGTCCTTATAATGACCTCTCCACAAACTAGTATCTCAACATAACCTATGAACTTATTTTCAGATACTAAGTCTTTATTTTAACCAGGCTTCTAGTAAGTGTACTACAAGTCATTCATTTAAGAAGGTTCCTCTATATAATGACTGACAGGACCTTTTTTTAAAAATCACATTGGGGTAATGGACTTTAATAGCAAAGAAATAAAAACATATTCTTTGGATGATTTTCAACTTTCTACTTTGTTTTTTTCTATTCCCGTTATTAAAGATAATCCGGTTCAGGGACTTTTTTTTGACTGATTTTGATCATTATGATAAGCTTGAATGACTGTGTGACAAATCAAGCCAGCAACAATATGTTACTGTGTTCACCTTGCAGCTGTAAGAACAGACTCCTTTAATCATACCTGCCAAGATGTGGAGAGAGGACATAAGGAACATAGACATTGTTGATGCCACAGAGGAAGGCTGTTCCGATGATCATCAATATAAACATAAATCTAAAAAAGAAAGAAAAACATTCTCATCAGCTCTGTCAGGTGCTCTTAAGCCCCCCTCAGTCAGTGATCAGTACAGAAATGTGCAGAATTAAGCTTCAGGATGTTTATACCTCATCATGTCATCGATCATCTTCCCTATGGAGATCTGCAGAGTTCCTAGGGACTCGTGAGCTGGCAGGATGTAGGCCAGCCGCGTGAAGCTGAGCATGCTGGTCACTGCAAACAGAACCTCGGCCAGCAGCTGGGGGTCCTCCTGACGCCAGTCCTCACGCACTGTGGGACACACAGTCAGACAGAGAGCCAGGGGTAAGGGAAGTAGTGAGCAAAAGCTGGATAAAAGCGACTTGGATTACAATTCACACGATGTGAGAGAGTTGGCAAATGATTTAGTTTGACTGTTGTTAAACAAAGACCCCATTCACTGTGATTTGTCAAACTTTCCCCTGTCTTTAGATTCTTCTATTTAATAATTCAAGGTCACACAGGGTGAATAATTGATATGCAAATGACCATTTTGTGCCCTAAGTGTTCATTTAAGAATTCAGCTATTTTGGATGAATGCTCTTATCGTATTATTT